CCCCCCCCCCCCCCCCCCCCCTAATTCATTCGGAAGGCCGCGGCCGATTGCTAGCCCCAAGCATCCCTAGCATTGTAGAAGTACCGATGTCGAGTGTCACATCCGTCCCTCCCTCCAACACCGCACGTACTTGCCAACTAAAATTATGCGTAGGTGCGAGCAAGTCCTCTGGAAACCTTTGTCGCGCTCATGGCACCGCCTAGGATGTCGCACACGACGGTCGTGAGCGGGACCTACACGGTGCAGTCTCTCGACGACCACTCGGACGTCGTGCGCATTTGTCTCCGCCCAGCGTGGCTTAAGGTGGCCTGGGCGTCTCCGAGAGACTTCTGCCTTGCCAGGTTTGTGTGTGTTTTTGCTGCTTGGCATGCACGAGGCAGGCACAGGAACCGGCTCGATTCACCGCGGATGTACGTCGTTGGTGTTTTATTTTTTGCATGGAAGGAGAGTGTCGGAAAAGAGTATGCTTTGCTTACGATGTTGCTCGGATTAGTTCTATGGGTGGCCCCAAAACTAAACAACGATATTTGTCTTGGAGCATATATGCTGTACTGCTGTCGGTCTGACCTCCACACCTCTGCCATCTGCCATCTGCGTCTCCGCGTGGTTGCTGTACTACCTGCCGACCGCTGAACTGTAGTACTGCACGACGGCACACCCTTGGCGTCTAATCGAATGCTGAATACTTGAATACTGAAGTTGTGTTGCCCCTTGGCCGACAGAAATGCGACGATGGTAGCACTAGTTATGAATCTTTATCAGCAGTAAGCTTTTTCAAGTTATTATCACAAACGGCTTTGGTTAGCTTTTCTTGCTTCATTTGTTGCTATTAAAAAAGTTCTCATGTTACCCGTACATATTTGGTTGCCAGAGGCTCACATTTAGGCACCTACAGCTGGTTCAGTTATCTTAGCGGGGATATTGCTGAAGTTCGGCTCTTATGGATTTTTTCGTTTCTTGAGGTCTTTTTACTGACGCTTCTGTATATTTTACGCCTTTTGTTTTTGGTGTGGTGTATGTTCTGTCGTTTCGGCCTCTTGTTTTTTCTGAGCGTGAATGATAGCTTGCTCCCTACCGTACGGTCTTGCCTCCCTCTGTCTCTCTCGCTGAAAAGCTCCGATCCGGGCCCACGCAGACAAAAATTCAGCTGGGGTGCATGCCCTCGTGCTTTCACGCGAGAATGGGTTCTGCGTTGCGCTTCCTTCTCTGAAGTGCCCTCCCACGGCGATCGATGCGCTTTCATTCGGCACAGGTCGTTTGACCCCCAACATTATGTGTGCCTTGGCGATGATGTGGACACCTTTATATTTGCCTCACGTGTTAGGCTCACATTTAGGCACCTACAGCTGGTTCAGTTATCTTAGCGGGGATATTGCTGAAGTTCGGCTCTTATGGATTTTTTCGTTTCTTGAGGTCTTTTTACTGACGCTTCTGTATATTTTACGCCTTTTGTTTTTGGTGTGGTGTATGTTCTGTCGTTTCGGCCTCTTGTTTTTTCTGAGCGTGAATGATAGCTTGCTCCCTACCGTACGGTCTTGCCTCCCTCTGTCTCTCTCGCTGAAAAGCTCCGATCCGGGCCCACGCAGACAAAAATTCAGCTGGGGTGCATGCCCTCGTGCTTTCACGCGAGAATGGGTTCTGCGTTGCGCTTCCTTCTCTGAAGTGCCCTCCCACGGCGATCGATGCGCTTTCATTCGGCACAGGTCGTTTGACCCCCAACATTATGTGTGCCTTGGCGATGATGTGGACACCTTTATATTTGCCTCACGTGTTGGTTGTGGGTACGGTAACCGCACTCTCGGTGTAGGTACTGGCACATGGCGGAGGACGGTTGCTACATCATGGTCCTGTCGAGCATGGAGCACCATGATTGCCCTATCGACCCGGAGTTCGTGAGAGGTGAGAAGCTGGTATAATACTGGCTGCAGCATGGTAACCCTGGAGGCGTCGGGGGCGCGTTTGTTATGCGTGTGTAACTTTGGAATTTCAACACGTCTGAACTCACGAAAATCGAATACTGGATAACATGTGTATTGTGATACTTAAGAAGTAAAAGAAGAAAAAGCAAGATGAACATGAAAAATTTTGGAGTCAGGGAAAGCACTGAAGTGAGGCCTTAGTCTGTTTCTAGGTTATGTTTTACTTGAGGTAAAACTCGCGTGAAATAAATGACTTCCAGTGCGACCGGTGAAACCAATCTACGGAATGTGTTTGCGCCAATAAAGGGGTTAATTCTTATCGCACAGCAAATTCCACACGTAGGTTAGGCTTGTTTTTTAGCGTTTGTTTTTTTTAGCCGAGTTTGAGCAGCTGCGTTGGCCACAGCTGTCGTTGTTTTGCTGTGTGCCGCAGCATTTTCAGAGTTTTGTTTTGACGGTTTTGACAGTGCATAGCGATGTGACTGTGATGTAGCGCAATGTGATATGAATGTGATATGTGATGCATCTCGTATCGTGGTCAACGCAATGTAGGCGAGGCTCACCTGGTGTTCACCATCGCCCCGCGAAGGGACAGCGTCCCGGGCGGCCACGCCTCTCCGGAATGCATGCTGTCGTGCCATGTGCAGGTGAGCTAGTTACGGAGGCCCTCCTTCCCTCCCTCCCTCGCTGTGTTCCGCTTACTTTCTTTTTATTTTTTCGCTCGCTCGAAAGCAGTTTTCACCATGTTTTGGTGGGGGGTATCGAGGGCAGGTGTAGCGGCTGCTGTGTCTCACGTGCCTTATGCCCGGAGCAGATGACCATCCACAGTAGTGTGCCGTGCGCCTTGCGGTGCTGTTCCGTTGACACAGCAGTGGTAGCAGCACACGTGACTGGAGCTCCAGCGCTTCTGGTTAGAGAGGAGCCGAGTCCCTATTTTTTTTATAGCCACGACTGGCCAATTTAACAGCAGTTGCAATGAAAGTCTTGCCTCGGCCTTGCATGGTCTGCCTAGCTGACCTGGCTAGGTTGGTGTCAGTAGCGAGGGTCGACCTCAAACACCCCGGTAAAGTATCTTGCCGTTTCTGGTGGTTCCCCGCGAGCGGAGCAGATCGACGCGCGTGAACTACGCTCCTACGTGTAAACCAAAACGTAGCGCTCGTTTATTTCTGACCTCGTTCCCATGTCCCCGGCGTGCTATGTTCGTCTGCAAGGTGGATCCGAAGGGATGGGTGTGGAACCGGCTCGGGTTTAGAGAGCTCTACACGACGCACGTTCTCATGACCGCGCTTGAGGTGAGAGCCGGCCAACATTACACCCAGCACCTATTATATAGCGTGAATGTGCTGAAAAACTTGCAATCATCCGCTTCGCTAGACAGCAGTATGTCTGCATGTACCGTCAACACGTTTTGTTGCCAACGCTGACCGCACCCCTCTGTATATCCTGGGCGATAGCATGCCCCGTGAAGGGACTGCTATCTGACATCGTTGGTCACAAAGTCGGTGTTGAGGGTCACAAGTAGCTGCAGATCTTGCGCGGTGGGGGATACCGCGCGCGTGCATTCCGGCCTGGTGGGCTATTCCACCAAGATGTGCAAGTCTCATGCTTCTGTGTGTCTTTCTGACTCGAAGCCCAGTGCCCGCCTCCACAGAGTCAATCGACATTGCTCCACGTTGCGGTGATGTCAAGGTATCCCACCACTGTACGGTCGAAGACAACGGTTATTGAGGGCAGCATCCGGTGTCGTCGCTTTGCCGCGTCTGTTGTTCGAGGAATACGTTGTGCACATAAGCGTAAGGCCGCTCTCGCCTCACGGCCTCGTAGCCTCCTCGTTGATCTGTTCGACGCCGTTCGTTCGACTACTGTCAACAGCACCCCTCCCGCCCCCCCCCACCGGATTGCACTCTCAATACGATAATCAAAGGTGCGCGGCGTGATCGAGGCCGAGCGATTTATGACCCCGCGCATCAGCCTCCGTCCCGACCCCGCCGCGGGCGGTTTCGACAACGGACAGATCCGGGTGGGCCCCAGGTCCGCCGACGGGAGCCCTTTCCTGTTCGAGGTCTTGGGGCCGACGGGGCCAGAGTCGAGCCAGGAGACCGGGGGGGCTCCGGCGACCGAAAATGTATTGGACTGTTCCAGGGGGGGGGGGGGGA